GCTGTTTTAAGGCGGTTGGGCCTCCGTTGTGCTAGAGTCCTTGACTTGGGTTCACTTCATTTGACGCTCTCTTGAGAGAGCCTGTGTGGAGTGTTGCAAAATCCGACATCGGGAAATCGGTCCGGCGGTGAAGTGTAGTAGAAGAATGAGTAGCGGAGAACGATAGCCGTGTGCTGGCCCAGCAGCTCAGATCCATCATTTCTCTGAGTGTGTCTGTCTACCTCAATGTCTGGTTCAGCGTTCTATTCTATTTTCAGTGACTATGTACGCTCGTGTGTTCCAAATGAACCAAATTGTCGGATTCCACCCGTATCTTTACATAGTTTCCGCGCTCTGAGCGATACAGTTACAACCAATGCTGCTTCGGTCGATAATACTAAGTAGTACTCTTTGGCCGGCGGCGTCAGCTCTGTAGCCGTGATGATGCCACCGCAAGGATGAAATTTAGGCGGATACCTGGCTGGCATTATCCATTGGCCTGCTCAAGCTCGCCTGCTTTTTCGTAAATGAGCATATGTACACGCATATACATAACCTTCAAGTTCCCGCTTTACTGCTGTTCGATAGTCCTGCAGCGAACAGATCGGTCGGCATGACTGCAAGCTACGAGACCTACTCCGATGATTTGAGCATTTCGGAAATACTATTCGCTGTGTGTGCAAAATGCTCTAGGCAACTAGTACGACTACTACGAAGAAGAAAAGTAGAGATCCATTTGGAAATTTCAAAGACGAGCTCAAAGACCATAAGAGAGAGGGGACGGCGGCGGTAAAGCGAAAATACAATGTGAAAGTTAAACTCACTTACAATCGAACAGAGGAGATGATGGAGCACGTAAGAGGGTATAAATGAATGAATGCTCACTGACCTCGTTCACAGGGTGGGGTCCTTGTTGAATCGTCATCCCCGAACAAAAGTCAGGCTATGCAACCTTTTAAGTTACCTCCAAGTAACTTCGCGTTAAAGACTCTAACAGTGTCCTCGTGAATTTGGGTTGCTTCTAGCAGGTTACGGGTAGATATCCACCATTATATATTTTTTTGATGTTTTATCGTTTCAGTGATGCATCGTGATATAAAAAAAGATCTATTAAAATGATTCAGATAGCAGAACAAGAGCGTGATACTCAAGCTGGATTCAGCCACGGGAAATGACAGTTAGCAACTCTGTTGTGCCCGCGCTGAAGATCCATGACTTTAGGATGACATAGCGTCCAGAACGTATTTCGTAGAACCTAGAAGCGTACCGATTACGTACTTGAAGTTGGCTGACATCCGAGGTAAGCAGGCGACACGATAATATTAGGAAGACGGATCTCATTTTTAGAAGCAAGGTAGAAAAAGTGCCTTCACACACGCTACAAGAACTATCTGAGAGATTATACCTGTATCTGTGACCAATCATACAAGAAACAATCATGCGTTTTGTTTGTTATAAAATCCCTAACAATTGACTACGTTTGTTATTTAGACAACTCCATACTGAGGTGCATGGTCCCAAATTACGTGTAGAGCGGCGGTGACAGCAATAAAAAAAACATATATCTACGCATTTATAGAATGCAATGCATAGTCATCTAAATGAGAGGGCCAAATGTTTCGCCCGGATGTTCTTACGAGACGCCCCATATCAACAATGGTGAAAGAAGACATGAGTTAGCACTCGTAATACATTAGTGTTGTTTATAAGTGATCTTCATGCGGTATTTAGAGTTTTAGACGGCCTTTCTGTCGTCATCGTTGGTGGCGCTAAACGGAAGGATCGCCCGTGGTGTGGCTGGTGGATTGGAGCCCTCGCAACTAACGCTGAACCTTCATAAGCAAACTATCATCACGCTACAACGCAAGGTATGACTAGCGGCGAGGCTGCTGGCCAGTCGATGGGCTCATCGTTATTCGACGATATCACTCAGTTGACTTAGTAACTATCGAGCGACCGACCACACCTGTTCTCTGTTTCGTTGCTGCTGTTCCTGTTGTTACCGAATTCACCCGTCGAAGAGAAGTGCTATTCTTGCCATTTTAACGATTCTTTTTCAATGGGACAGAGGCGAAACGAGGTAAAACAAAGTGACAGCCAGTACGAGGTACGAGCAGCTTATCTCTCTCCATATAGCCGCAGCAGTTGTACCTCACTACGACTACAATTTTTACTGTGTGCAGTGTATCTATGTATGTCTGCACGTGTGTATGTATATACACACATACATACATATGTATATGTATGTGTCTGTTTTTCTCCGACTTCTAAAGACAAGCGAAGGGAGAAGCCAGTGATAGAGAGGATTGTTCGCTTCTAGTGCATGGATGGTTACAACGATGATAACAGCAAACGACGATAATTGCTCTCTGTACTTGCGTTCGGCATTCGCCGTTCTCCCGCCGTCTGACCTGGCGTCCCTGCCGCTACTACCGAGAGAAGCCCGCTCCGCGCCGTATTCGATTCTGACACAGGCAGAAGCCATAGAACTAGCCAGAAAAATATTCGCACGAAATAGGCAGACACAGAGGCAACAGCCACTCATGGTTACGGCGGATGACGGATACAGGACAATGATGCGCGGCGGCGGCGACAGCGGCGGCGGCGGCGGCGGCAGAATACGCGCGGAACAAAATGACTTCTCTCCACCATTTTGCCCCCGACGCCAGTCAGCCATTTGAGATTCCTATTCCTTCTGGTAAAAGAACGGGTGGCAAAAAAGCCCACGGCTACCGCCGCCGGTTTTCATGTTGCTATCGCTGCTGCTTTGCCCCTCAGAGAATAATAATGATCTCACGAACAAATACGTACTGCCAATGGGCACTATACTGTCCTGCGTGCGCTTGTCGCATGCGTAGAACAAACCGAGAACACAAACGGATGGACGTAGCAAGACACAGGTCATTACGGGTCAGGGAACATTACGGAGTATTGGAAGGCGGAATTGGCCTCTGGAGAGCATTGGCATCTTGTTGCAACTTTTCATGTTAGGCTTAACGACGGTCTAACAGCGGTGCTTCGACTCTAAGTATTATATATATATAATACGACCAGCTATATACATACATATATATATATATGTATGTATATAACTGGTCGCAAAGAAGCATATGTGTGCGCCATTTATCTGTGTGGGAAGTAGGCGTATACCGTGTAACACCAATATGATCACTTCGAAAAGCTTTGAGAGCTTCCTGATTTCGAATGGACGTTTTCCATTAAGAGGTTTGGAGGCTAGCTTGAAACTAGCAACAAAAGCTAACTCGGAACTCTAGTTAGCGTGAAACAATTGCAAGCTAAGTTTATATTGAATACTTACCTCAAGATGACAAATGCTAAACGATACGTGTTAACTTACGTCTAGAGCAACTTATTAGTGAGTTGCGCCATCGATCCAAGTCCCCCGATAGACGAAGACGGAAACCATAATTATCAGCAAATTGCAGGCTGGATTAGTTCGCAGAATTTTTTTTTAGAACTTACATATGCTTCTGCTTAAAATGTAACAGCGCTACATACTAATCATCGAAGCATTGCTGAGAATTCAAGCAGTTCTCTATCGTAGTTTCAAGCTTGCTTAGTGGTGTAATACCAAAGGGAACTAAATTACTAAAGGAACGTAAGTTTAGGATAACTTAAACTTAAAACGGCTTAGCGCTACATTCGTTCCCGAAAAATGGGGGTTTCTGAAATTTCTGATTTAAAAAAATACAAATCATGAAATTACCTAAACACGCAGATTGTTCAGAAAAACATCTATTTTCTTAACGAAAATTTTAATTTATAGTGATGTGTTCATTTAACAGATACGTGCGGTATCATGACGAGCTTTGCAAAATTGATCCGTAACCGTGTTCAAGCTGATCGCACGGATAAGCGCACGTTGGATGTCGTCTGATCCCTCAGCGAATCAAACCGTATTATTAAAGTTAGTAATTCTAGTATACATTTACTTGTAGTCTACATCGAATTAATTGATGTTCATTACCTATAAAAAAAAAATTATATATATACATGAGGTTTGAGTATCAGTACGTATGTGCATACATACGCAGGACCTCGCACTATCACGTCGACATACCTAATAGACAATTACGAGCGCGGACATTATCCAGTATTGATTTCATTTCGTTTCAAAGATAATCTTCTCCTCTTCATTTCGACTTTCCTCTTTCTCGACACGTAGCACGAGTTGCGGGCCATCGAAGACAAAGTTTCCAAGAGAAGCTCACGTATGCTTACATACACATGCCCACATACACCGCTCATACACATGCCCAGTCTAGCTGGCGGGATACTCGTGAGTAACCAGTCGTTCCAGTTAGAGTGTTTAACGTAACTCCTGTTGGGCTGGAGATTGATGCAAAAGGGTCTTGGGGCAACGTACTTTAGGAGCTCGTCTGGCAGGATGGATGGGCGTCTGAAAAAGCTCGGGTCAGTCTGTGGTCGCTCGTTTAAGGTCCCAGGCTCTGGGGCACTCATGGCGTCATGTTGGTGGCCTTCTGTGTTACTGCTGCTGTTATTGCTTCTACTCTGGGGTAATGACTACTAGTAACCGCCTGAATAACCATCACTGCCATTCCCACTACCACAGCTACGATCGACGCCTTCATGAACATCAACACAGAGACCGTATGGGTCTGGGCCAGGCCAAGCCAGAACCCGCGCACTCAGACTAATCCAGCATCGCATCAGCAGCAAGCGGCCTGCCTGGCCTGGCCTGGCAGGCTCGGCTGCTGTGCTCCTCTATTCTTCGTGTGACGTCACGGTGAGGGCCGTGTTGGCGGTGCTACTGCTGCTGGTGATGGCAGCGGCGACGGCAGCAGTGTGTGGCGATGTTGCTGTGGAAGTGCGAGCGAACAGAACCCTCCGTTAGGCGCCGCCCCGTGCCGCTCCGTCAGCTGCCAGCCACCGAGCCAACATGTCGGCGAACGGACGGACGGTCGAACGGACGGAGCCACAAACAGGCGGGAGATCCGCCGGCCGGGGAGGAGGGAGGGAGGAAAGGCCCGTGCCTGTGTTGCGTGTGTATGTGTGTGTGCAAGTGTGTGAATGTCTTTCTACGCTGCGCTGCTTTAGCCAAGCTCTGCTGTGTCTAGCGCTGTAAATGTGCGCGTCTATAGCTGACTGTAATAGCGTTGTATGTGTATATGTGTACGTAAGTGTCTGCCGTCAAACGAAGAACGAGCCGACTAACTAAACGAACGAACGCGAGCGAACTGCCGACGGACGTAAGCCGCGTTGCTGCTGCTGCGGTTGTTGCTGCTCGTGCGACTACCACGGGAGGCTCTTCGTTCAGCGTTTCCCGCTAGGACGACCCCTGCTGCCTCTGTAGTTGAACTGCGCGCCGGCGCCGTCAGATCTGCAACTGAAACGGATTCGAAACGAGGCCGACATCGGGAACGAACGGCAAACCACTGGCGGACAGTGAACACATCATGACCCACTGCTATGCGCTATGAGTCGTTCGCTACGAAACGAACAAAACGATCGTAAACACGCCAGAGCGCAGCGTTCGAGCAGATACACAGCGGCAGGATTTACGAGTAACACAAATATATAATAATATTGTTGTGTATTGATATAGGATGTTCCGGCGAAAAGGAAAAGAGGACGATATCTTGGATCCAATTTGACTCAATATCGAAGGTGGCCCTATGGCAATGTACAGTGAACGATACTAATTGGAGTTGGCATTCTGTAAGAAGAAGTGAAAGTGTACGTTTTTGCATTGATCCTGCTGGTGGTCCCTCAGTAGAGTACAGAGCAGATAAAGACCCGGAATAGATCAAGGTAAGGCGCGGGCAGCACGACGTTCTCATAGTCCGGAAGAGAGCGCAATACCACCGCAGTGCACGGCGATCAACGACGACAGTGGCAGCCGCTCGCTTCAAGCAGCTGATTGAACTGGCCCAATGATTAACAACTGATCAGTTAGGCTCTCCTCGTGGTGAGGTAGCTACAGTGAGAATGTACCCGGCAGTTCCGGATCGCTCGCGCAGTAACACTCCAACGAAGACCGAATTAGAGGTGCGTTGAAGACTGGCGAGGGTTGTGTCATACACGCGGCGCTCACAGCTATAATAACTATGCCTATATGTATGTTTGTATGTGAATGTGAATTTGTGTGTCTTGGAAATAGGGGCTGGATTTGATGACGAAGTGGGATTATGTACTGTGATGAATAACTTCGGTTTCCTATCAGAAGCAATCGATAAATTGGCACGAGCTTTTTTCGAGCTTCAGATGCTAATATAGGCTAGATGGACATCGCAACGACGTTAAAGCTATCACTGATCGATTGGAAATTCACACAAACGAACAAAATTATACTACTATCGTCTTCGAAAGTGAGATGGACGTAAATGAATTGGTACAGCATACGAAAAAAATATAGCTTTTTATGCAGAGAGTGACGCGGTTCATCTTCGTTACAAGTAACCGTTTTGTAGAAAAGCTTCTGAGGACAACAGAGAAGAGCTAGCCCCGGACCACTCATCAAGGTTATCGACGCGATATGGATGATTCGGGTTCGAATTCGCCGCCGCCCACAATGATTCCAAGCGTTTATCGTGACCATCCTCCGCGGAGATCCGTCTCCCCGGAAGGCGGCTCGTCAAAAGGCAGATCAACACCAAGCTCTCCAGTGTCATCGGGATGTCTCCCATCGGCCAGGTACCCAGGAGTGCCTGCGTTCATGCTCAATGGCGGTCAACTAGCTAACCGCTATTCGATGTTGGCCGCCCAACAACGCTTTCAACTTGAACAACCTCCTGCGGCGCAGAGTCGAGGCAACTCCCCGCCAGGAATCGCCTCCGACGTTGCCGCTTCCGACTGCCGTTTGATCGACTACCGTGGAGCGAAAGTGGCAGCTTTCAGCGTTGCAGGCGAATACCTGCTGTGTCTTCCGCAAGCGTTCGATTTATTCCTTAAACACCTCGTCGGTGGTCTTCATACAGTCTATACGAAGCTTAAAAGATTAGACATCACGCCAATCGTGTGCAACGTAGAACAAGTGCGCGTCCTTCGAGGGCTGGGAGCAATCCAGCCAGGTGTAAACCGATGCAAGCTCTTGTCGTGCAAGGACTTTGACGCACTCTACAAAGACTGTACGACCGCAAGGTAAGCTTCAACATATGATACAATTAGTTACTCGGCGTCTCATTATCGCCATATAATGCAAGCTATACTGGTTTATCAAACCCCTAACTGGCGAGATCTTCTATTATACTGCAAAGTAATGGACCTCGACCTCTATTAACAGTTTATCACACGATCATAAGTTTCACGGTGAATCATTACTCGTTAGAGCAATGAAACCAACGTACTCTTTAAATGCTTTGTTTCGTTAACACAAAATATGTTACTTGTTTTATATATATCTGTTTAGGAAAAAATATATATATATCTATATATATTTTCCTAAACAGTTGAAGTGACTCGGAACTTGTTTTGACGCTTTATAGGATAAAGAAGTGTTGTACTTGAGCATAGGCCTACTTTGTTAAGCACAATATGGCACTTTTACACACACGCGCCGTTTGATTGAACGATATTTATTTAGTTGATGGTTGTTTGTGAAGAAATTGGCCTTTATTACCGTATAATAGATCATTTCTGCTACTCCGCCTCCCCCCGAAGTTGAATTCGCTGTGAAGACAGTCCATACACACCATAATTACTCGTGAAGCGTTATCGATATACTGCGTTCTACAAACGAATCGAAAGGAAAGCGATCCGATATAGTTAGCTTAACGACATCGTCCAAAGGACCAGCCAGCAGTTGAGGACAACAGGTACAGACAAGCATAAGGTTCAAAGTACTGAAGAACACAATACTGCCCCACAATAGTCCCTGAAACCCCAGCGGCTACGGTCAAATACCAAAACAGCAGCGTGAAGGACGAAGCTGTAATACAATAGCTACCCCTCGAAACCGCTGGTCATAATTCAGCATTCACGGCAATCGATGGAATGAAGCACAGTATTATTATTGTAATTATAGATACTCCTTTAATTGAAATACAGTACTTTAATACATAGCATAGAATAGGCGTGAGCTTTGTTTCGCTCATTTGCCCGCCAGTGCAAAGGAGAACAAAAGCAAAAGGGGCGCGTATCATATGTATATTTCTGAAGTAATATGTATTCTGCCGTACAAGAGTGTACAAGTTCATTATTGACCCACCGATCATCGCTAATGTGATGTTGTGTATATACCATTAAAGGACCTTATTTTTTGCGGGTCTTTCGTGTTCTGAAGCTGCTCCGTAGCAATTCCTGGTCGAGACATCCGGGTGCGACGGAAATATGCTGAGATTGGCAGGGCCCATTTCGCCTCATCTTTTTAAAGCACTCCTCTGATAGTTCCTGTCATTGCCGCAACTCCTTCTTCATGTGCTGGGTTAGGTAGCTAACAGCCAATTCTGTGTAAGGAACTTATAATAAAAATAAGTTAATAATAGACGGTTCTTTCTGTAGTAACTTATATAAAAAGGACAAGTTTCATCTTATCCATCAAAATACAACCTACTAGCACACCCAGAAAGGCCTAGAATTTGCCACCTCTATAGCAGCAATGAGGTACATGCGTTTGGAATAAAGCCTTGATGTCGAATCGGCGTCACATAGAAGAGTACATTTCAACAGGACTTAATGGCGGCGGCCGACACTAAGATGTATATAAAAAAGACGAACAAATAAAAGTCATGTTCCGTAGACTTGTGAAGCATGTAACCGCGATACGCGGTCCCTAGGCAGTCATGAGAGCAAGCACATCACAGCTCTTTAGAATAAATCGAGATTTAAGGAAAGCAGCAGAAACTTCAAATTGGAAAGTTTTCAAGGTGGATGCATATAGTTTACCGCAAGTGGTCAAACCCTTGAAAATGCTTACATAATGACTAAAGTAATGTGACCAGCTTTTTTTTTGTTGGCACATTTAGCGGAATCTGCTAGAAATGAGGCGAACGCTAAAGCACTGGGTTTTGTTAGCAGACCCAAAATTTCTAAAACTGTATTTTAGCTGGCGTTCATGCTTACGCGTTTCGGAGCCGAATACTTCCTCGTTTGCCCGATGCCTATCCGCTCAGTACTCAAATGTTTTACCTTGATAACAAACGGTGCGGTCCTTCCACTGTAGCCCCCTTCTTCGAGCATTTCTCCAATCGCTGCATTTATAGTCGTCCTAGCAAATCACAAGGTGGAATCTACATAGTAAAATCAATAGAGAGAGTGCTTATTCCATCTAGTAGTACCAATAGTAAGCTCCGGGTTCTGCATCGTTCAGCTGTCCTTTCCAGTTATTGCGTTGGTAATACGTGTGGCGTCTGGCCGCAACAAAATACCACAGCGCCAACCGTACGTTTCAGCATGAGGAATCGCTCGCCAACAATGTCGTGATCCTCTCGACGGTGCCATTCGACGCGTTTTCTCATTAACAGCATCGAAGTGGCACGAACTGTAGAAATACGCGGACGGACAAAACGTATATATACATATATATTGTGTTTACGGGAGAATCTAAATTCTTTGCGTTGACGGCGAGTTAGGGTACGTTTTGTGTTGATGAATCCGTGTATTTGTCGATGCGGAAAAGAGAGGCAGACAGATAGAGCTAACCGAGAGATACGGCCGATATCTGTTATTGTATGGTTCGCAGGTTGGAGCCAATTCTTCCTATTAGATTTTCCATCTACGTCTCGACGTTCGGTCACATCTGACCGCGTCCGCTTTTTCATGCTCTCGATTTTTGCTTCAAAACTTAAAAATCCACTTTCGAAAACGGCGCTCAGTAGGCGAGCTAAGCCATTTGACTAATTAAATTTATGTAAAATGGTCGCGACAAATATTTTAGAACATAGTAATTTCGTTATCCGCTTATCGATAAGGGCTATTAATTATCGTTCACTACCTAATTTGCTTGACAAAGAGCAATCATGAATTTTCGCTAAATGATACGTCCTTATGCCTAATCCATATATATAATTGCATAAAATTTGCCCTTTCTCTTTATCCACTTTTAAGGTGTCTGCTATCAAATCTCTCCATCTCAACTAATGTACATTAGCAGACGACAGTGAACCACAATAATGGAGTTGATTAAATCTCTCTTAGCGTCGTTAAAGGGAAGGCAGAAGCGCCGTCGTTATCGGAAAAATGAGCATTTCGTATAAACCCGCCGTGCCACAAAACTAACAGGACAGAAGTCAGTCAAATAGACAGTTATCTAGATAAATACGGATATATCCAGGACACTACAATCAGCGGAACAGCACGAACTAATCATAAAAATGTGATTGTTTGCCGAATATGAGCGTATCCATCTTATTACGCTGTTTGCGCTATCCTCGTACCCTTTCATATATATACAATTTGTGTTTTTTGCATGTGACTGTATGTCTTGTTTAAAGAGTGTCGCTAGTGGCGATAATGATAATGACGATTCTTTCGCAAATTTAACGGCGGCGTATCATCATCATTATCCTGTGCGACGTTATCATTGCACCAGCTAGATTAGCAATGTTTGGCAAGCCGGCCGGCCGGGCGGGCGGCCGGCTGGCCGGCCGGCCGGTCGGTCGGTCGGTCCGTCGGTCGGTCGGCCGGCCGGGCGGACGGACGGACGGACGGTAAGCGACGTATGTGCGTCTAAATAGTCGATTGGCTGTTTGACGGTGGTGTTTTCGGCTGTGGCTCTTGTTAGTGTTACCGCTACTTGACTAAACGGCACCTCTTTTAATCATAGCCAACAGCACGGTGGAATCGTAACGTAATAAAATGGGATGGGATGAAATTTAATGGGTAACAACAACGACGACGGCGGCGGCGGCGGCTGAGATTTCTCAAATGCGATTTTAGCTTAGCGTCAGCTGCAACCGCTGGCCGCGGTCTTCTGCCAACTGTTTTTTTAGTCTCGTCGGTTGTTTTTGCCTTTTTGGGTTCTGTTCTGCTTCGTCTCGCCCATTAGAGCGACAGTAAAATTGTCACGAAATTGATGGAAAACATTACAGTGGGGTAATGAGCTATGTTGAGAAATCAGATCAAAAACGCCCCGTCCATCATCGCCGTTTTCATTATCATCATATATGGCGTCGCGCAATACGATTCCCATAAAATTTGCTAACACAACTACAACCAATGGCAATAGCAGTGCTCCATTTTCCTTATTGTTGTTGTTGCCTATTGATACCAAATCACAATCGCCAATGGGAACAGCGGGCGAGCTCCTTCCTCGATCGATAATGGCTTAGTTTAGCTTTCTGTTTTCTCTGATTTGTTCGAACTATTTTTCTAGCGTGGATTTAATTGCTAAATTCCGTAGCAGTGATTCAACTTATACTAAAATGTGTACTCATTCATCGTCGTGGGGTATCGTCGAGACGAAAGAGGCTTCGCCCCTTAATTCGAGCGTTTACTAGTGCTCGTCAATTGCATTTATCTAACTTGCTTTAGCGCCTTTATTATTGTTATTATTATTATTATCTGCTATCTGTTTTCCCTCCGAAAACTTCTTACGACCGTTGTTAATGTCTTCTCACGTAAATGACGCGCTTACTACTGTTACCCTTTAATGTGTTCAGATGTTTTATGACCACTAAATACTCTCACAAACACAAACAGTAACAAGAACGCGTAAACACAAAAAGGGATAGTTTTGCATCCACACCGTAACGACTACTACGGTTACAACTTTTATAGTGATAAACTCCATTGATGTGAGCATACGTACAGGTATATATTTTATCAAAGTTGAAAACAAGGATCAGCGTAAGTGTTATGGATAATGCACCACGTTTATCACGTTTGTAGTGTGATTCTCCGTCTAATGGAAAGTTTACTATGTCTGTAATGTCAGCCTTCGGTCATTTTACTTTGTACATAAGGTCTTTTGCGAATATACTGCGCGTACCAGGGTGTTGCTTCGATACGGAAAGTAGGATAAAAACATCGTACGAACACCGAATACTCTACGGCAAACGCTACGGATCCCGTTGAGATTCATTTACCTCAAGTTGGCTAATCGAATCAATTGTAATTGATAGTTATGGCCAAACTGCGCCAATAACTCGTAACCGTGGCCTACATTTCGGTGCAGGCCAGCAGCGCCTGTTGTCATCTGTTAC